AGCTGCTCCATCTCTCAGTACCTGCAGCCCGACCATCACACTAGGAAGTCAGACAGAGTGGGGTAATAAACCCATAGCAAGAGAGAAAGATTATACTTGAAGGTCATCTGTAGGCAGGCGTAATCACTCACAAAATAACCACGTCTTTTTCTGATCGGACATCACCAACATTTGGTTTCACTTGCAAAAAATATCTTTACAGTGTCCTTACTAACATGGGTAAATATTTACAGGCACAAAATATCAGATCAGTTCAGATCAGTATGGCTCTCGGGTGTACCATGGCCCTACAGAAAAATTAACCATTTATCAGATAGCAAATCCCTCCAATATAATTGTGGGAGAGAGCATGTGACCTCTCCTGAGTCTGTAGTAGAATAGTCAACACCATTCAAACATTTTAACCCAATATTAATGCTAATTATTTGTATTGCAGTAGTACCTACAAGCTCCAGAAAGAGGAAGTAAGAGGCAGTCTCTCTGCACCAGAGAACTTATCTAAAAAGACAAAACAGACAAAGGGTGGGAGGGGAAACTGAGGCACAAAGGCCACTCAGGAAGTTAATGGCAGTGCCAGGAACAGAATTCAGTTCTTCTGAGTACCAGTCCAGTGCCCTAAGCCAGTGGTCCCCAATGTGGTGCCCACAGGCGCCATGGCACCCGCCGGGGCATTTATATGCGCCTGCCGAGTGATCAGGGCCGGCCCTGCCCCGGGCGCGCAGCGCATGTGTGGTGCCGGCCCAGCCGCGGGGCGCATGGGCGGCCCTGCCCCCGGATGTGTGGTGCGTGTGCAGCCCCACCCCGGGCGCCCAGCAGCCCCAAAAGGTTGGGGACCACTGCTCTAGTTTGTCCAGATCATTTTGAATTATGACCCTATCCTCCAAAGCACTTACAACCCTTCCCAGCTTGGTATCATCTGCAAACTTAATAAGCGTACTCTCTATGCCATCATCTAAATCATTGATGAAGATACTGAACAGAACCAGTCCCAAACCAGACCCCTGTGGAACCCCACTTGTTATGACCTTTCAGCATGATTGTGAACCGTTAATAACTACTGTCGGAGAATGGTTGTCCAACTAGTTATGCACCCACCTTATAATAGCCTCATCTAGGTTGCATTTCGCTAGTTTATTGATAAGAAGGTCTTGTGATACCATGTTAAATGCCCTACTAAAGTCTAGGTTTACAACAGCCACTGCTTCTCCTTTATCCACAAGACTCGTTAGCCTATCAAAGAAAGCTATCAGATTGGTTTGACATGATTTGTTCTTTACAAATCTATGCTGGCTATTACCTATCACCTTATTATCTTCCAGATGTTTGCAGATAAATTTGGTAATTCCCTGGCTTGTTCTTATTTCCCTTTTTATAGATAGCACACTGCACTTTGGTGCAAGGACCGTCCTTCACTATGTAGCTGTACAGCAGCTAGCACAATGCAGCTCTGTTCTATGTTGGGGGTCTCCAGGCAATACAAAAATAAAAATACAGGAAAACTGCAGAGTTATTAACACCAGAATTCAAAACAGACCAGTCAAGCACACACTTCAGTTGGAACAGAAAGTATGTAAGTAGGCAACAGCAGAGACCATAAAAACAAACAAATTAACAAACAATTTTTTTAAAAAACCCAACCTCAACCCAAGCCCCAAAAACAAACTACTAAACAATAAAGGGAAAGTTGTTAAAAAATGATTTGACAAGATAAGGAAACTGTTTCTGTGCTTGTTTCACTTAAGATCGCTAAAAGCCACATCTTTCTTCTGCACCATAAAGTTTTAAATCTGTATTAAATCAATGGTCAGCTGTTAACTTTTGAAAGAACCATCAATTTTTTTCGGAGTTCTGAACAAGCTCCGTTCCCAAGGTGTTCGTAACTCTGAGCTTCTACAGTCATTAATTAATTATTATCATGACTATTGGAATTCTCACTCTGGATAGTTGCAAATCTGAGCTCGACACCTAGACTATCCCAGTAGAGGATTTGTGTGCTATCCATGGTAAAAGGGGAGTGGGCAAGTAGAATTTGTGTTAGAAAATAATTGGTCTGAAAATATGGTTACTTAGGGATCCTTTTTGGCTTTCCTCTGAGGCTCTGAAAAGTGTTATGTTAATTGACCCATGTTAAAAGGCACTTAATAACTGGCACAAAAAGCTCATGGCCTCTCTCCTTTCTGACGAAGATTCAGTAGTAGATAGTCTAGCCAGGTCTCTCCCACCTTAGAACCAACCACTTTTATCAAACAGACTACAGCACATTGATTGTAATACTAAGAAAGAGCATACATCATTAAAGCTAAGCTACAGTTGACAACAATAGATGAACAAAATCCATTTGGTGATGAGTGACCCTGGATATTTTTATTCTTTGTTCATTTATTAGTTGGCAAATTTACTAATTGAAGAAGTGGGTTGTGCCCACGAAAGCTCATGATGCCATTTACATATTTTGTTAGTCTTTAAGGTGCTGCCAGACTATCTGTTGTTTTTTTAAGTTTTGTAATTCATAAAAGGCCTCAAAGTCACCCCAGCAGACTAACAAATTCCTATTAACAGGGCTACAGTCTTGAGTCCACTTCCCTGCACTTTCTCATTTCAATAAAACATCTTTTACCGAGACAAGAAGCTATGAATGTAATTTACCAACTGCCAATCCCATTCTGTTTACTATGCCCTCTGCCATTTCAATTGACGAAAGCACGCTTTTTGACAGCGGGGCTTTCTTCACTGCAGAGCATTGCTTTACCCTGTGAAATAATAGCTACCGCCCACACTAGACGTGGCTGTATTTCAGTGGAGGGTGAAGTGTTTTTCTCTCTGGGCATGAGGGGGTTGTTCACATCTCAGTTTGTAAATTGCTCTGGGATTCTTTAAGCTGTTGGATGTGATAGGCACCCGCGATGTTGTTTCCTCAGCAGTAAGAGCAGGAAAACTCAGGAAAAACAGAACACGCTCTTACCTGCTGGATGAAAGAAGGGGACAGCCGCCTGTTGCAAAATGGCTACTTCAGGGCTGCTGGTGCTCCATTTAAAGAGACAGCCCCAGAAAGACAGGCAGGGGGCAGGCACTGGGGAAAGTTAAGAAGGGTCAAGAAGGTGCTAAATTAATCCGCAGAATAAAGGTAAAGTGTTCACTGCCCTCCTCCCCATGTTAAATTCCAGCTGTGGGGTATCTGCTGTCATCCAGCACCTCGGATGATTGATAGGCAAAACCAGGGATAAACAGAATGCCACAGTCAGGCCACCAGCTGTCTGGGGAGTGTTAGACAGGGAAGGTAAAGGTAAGCAGCATTCAAACTGGCAGCCATAAGGGCCTGATCTCACCATGAGCATTGCGGGTGAACCCCATGCTTACCGACTGCATGGGGATGGCTGGCACACAGCTTGCTACAGGGCTTGATGCAGCCCTGCCAATGCAAGGGTGTGTTGCAGTGAGGGGCAATTCGCCCCGGGAGGAGCACAGGACAGGATGCAGCTCCCATGCTCCCTCAGAAGGTCTGGCGACCAGACAGGGCAGTGTAAGAGTCTGGCTTAAGTAGGACCTAGCTCCCGGTCCAGAGTCTGCCGAGGACAAAAGGAGGAAAATGAAGTCAAGTCAAGTCTCAGCCAATCACAGCTCTCCCTTCTCCCCAATGAATAGACAACAATATGAATCATCTCATATTGCTAAAAGACCCTAAGGATTTGGCTTCCATAGTACGTCTCCATCCCTCCGAATTCGGCAGCCTGTGCTTGGTTCCTCCTGTCTATCCAGCCCAACCCCGATGGGCCTGTAGAAAGACTCGTCCCAGCGCATGTGAGGAAGTTGAGCAGGGAATGGTATTTTCAAGAAGCTTGTGGTGGGAGCGAGGGGAGTTCAGCTGGAGAAGTCAGGTGAAATAACACGACAGTAATTTCCAGAGAAACAGCGCTGCTCGGTTAACATGCTGGCGTGTTTGTGCGACAGATCGTGAATTTATCATTTGCGGAGAGATATTAAAAATACCTTCGCCGCTCCGACATGCTGTGCGCACCATCGGCTGTGCCCACCGGACTAGCGCCATTGAATGGCGGATGCTGAACAGTACAGGAATGGGGACCCTACGGGCACTTTGCTGTGTCAATAGGCGCTCAGCAAGGTGACTGTCCCGCCTCCGTGTTATGGGGAGTCCATTATTTGGTGAGCAGGGTCCTGCCAAAAGCTGATCGGAGCGAAGAAGCCAATGCCAAAATCTGGAGGCCTGTCTCTGATTGGGGCTGCTAAGAAGCCTTTGATCAGATAGCTACAGCCCCACGCTTGAAACTAGAGCCATAGGGTGGTTACATGGCGTATAATCAGCTCATCGAGTAGTCAATGGATTACTCAATTAGTCGATAAGGGGGGAAACTGCAGGGGTGCAGCGGGGTTGGCTCCCGCTCTGCCTTTTAAATGTATTAAGAGTCTGGCAGCAGAGGTGCAGCATCTGGGACTGGGTGCGAGCCGGGAGAGCTAATTCCCAGCTCACGCCTGGTCCCCCCGCTACACCCCTGCCTCCCCACAGAGACAGGGCTGCGGGAGGACCAGCTTTTAAGCCAGTTCCCCCCAGCACTGGGTCCTGCTCCCCCCTTGCTGCCTCTCTGATAGAGGTAGCGGGGGGAGGGGAGTTACTATGCACTCGGAGTTGTGGGAGGCTGGCGTAATGCGCCATGTTAAAGCAGCGCTGTGCTCTGCTTTCAGTATCCTCCTCTGGGCCACGGGGAGCAGAGACTAGCCGGGGAGTGGTGCACACCTTGTACGGGGTGGGGACAGGTGCCGCTACCAGCCTGAACGACCTTGCTCGACCCTGTGCTAGAGGCATGGGACCCACGCAGATCAGACCCTCCTATGGCTGGCCCACCCTCTCCAAACTAGAAGGCTTTCTGTTTTCACTCTCATCCCCTCCCTCCCTCCCCGAGATCCACGCAAGGCCGGACTGACCCCCTCCGAAGGGCAGCTGCCGCGCCAGGGTTCTCACGCTAACCACTCGCTGGTTTCGTCAGGACAGCAGTGAGGCAGCAGAAGGAGCAGGCCCCTCGGAGGAAGAGGTCACCAGGTGGTGGGGCGAGTGGAACTCCTGGTCCACCTGCTCCCGGACCTGCGGGGGGGGAGTGACGTCCCGGGAGAGGCACTGCTTGCGGCAAAGGTAAGCCATGGAGCAGCACCAGCAAACCCCAGCCCCGCACACACGCGTGAAACCTTCACCTGCTACACTGTCCGGATGCTGGATGGGTGGGCAGTGTCTCTCCTTGCCGGAAGCCACCAATTACTCGACGTGGCAGGGAAAACGGGATGTTTGTGCTTCGGGCACAGGGCTGCAGACTGATGCGTAACAGGCTCCTCTGCCCTTCAGCCCACCTGCAACCAGACTTAGTGCCTCTTTTACCAGATGCAGGGAGGGGTGACCCAAAATGCATCCTCCCACGCCCCTGGCTTGGAAAGCCACTGCCTTTGGAGCAGTGCACTGGGATTAGCTGTGGATCTGAAATCCCCAAACAGCCCCCCTCTTGGTTATAACTGGGCACTTAGCAGAGACCCTCCTGAGCTACAAGCAGGAGCTTCTACCGCTGGAGGGGAAAGGTGCTTGGAGCTGTAACAGACTCACCTCTAGACACAGGCACAAAGGAGGATCCGGAGGGTACACTAGGTAGCTGTGCTCTGCAGCGTACACACCTTGGCGTGACCAAGCGTACGGGGCTGGGCAGCTGGGTCACTGTTCGGTCTCTTTGCAGCTGGCTGATGTAGCATGGCACACCCGCAGTACATTGCTCAGAAAGCTAAGGTGTGTCAAGTGTCCGGCTTGGACACCCAGCAGGCCTGGGACAGGTGCTAATTCTGTCGGGGCCGTCTTCAGCCCAGGCATAGGCAGGTGCAACTCACACCGGCCTATGGTGGAGTTGCCCCCACTTCTACCTGAGGGTGTTGGCGATGGTGGGACTGAGCTGCCTTTGCTTCACATCCCCATCAGTGGCTTTTAGTGCTATGCCCCCATCTTCCTGCCACATGCCACGTCAGTACCAGTTGTACTGTTACGCTAGAACCACGTACACCAACCTATTCTCCATAGGCAAGGTACTCTGGTCAGCGGGGCTGACAGCCGGGCCAGGTCCCTGGGCAAGGCAGGGGGCTGCTCCATGCCCCTGGAAGGGGCGGAGCCACAGGCAGAAGGGGTGGAGTTGGGGCTAGAACACTGCACCTCCCCCAGGCCGCCCTGTGCGCTGCCTGGAGTGCTCCAGCAAAGATTTAAAGGGCCAGGGCTCCAGCAGCAGCAGGGAGCTCCAGGCCCTTTTGTATTGCTGGGCCCTGGAACAGTTACCCCCTTTGTGCTCCTCCCCTCCGCCGGCAAGCCGGACTCTGGTGCTGCTGACACTTTTCCCTCGGTCCCCGAGCGCTGAGCCCGGTCACGTCTCTGCGACTCCCACCTCTCTCCCTCACGCGGCCTCGCTCGCTGGATTTTTGTGGTACATGAGTCCCGCTCCCTCCGTTCACTCCCTCACCCCACAGCAACGGAGGGCCTGGGGCGCTCACCAGTGAGCCCCGCTGGTCTCGCTCAGCCCGGCTGTCTTGCTAGCACCTGTCAGATCCACCACCCAGGGCGGCCCTGGGGCCTGGAGCGGAAGCCCCGAGCTCCACTCAGGTGCTGAATGAGACCCCTGGGGAGGCCTCTCTCGAACCGGCTGCTCCCCACTCCCTGGCTGCTAATGAGAGCTGGCACCTGAGAGTGCAGCGCGCTCGCTGGGCCTGCCTCCTCCTCTGCGCCTTTCCCTTCTGCCTGAGCACACTTGGAGGCCGAGGAAGCCCCCATGTGGCCCCCTCTTTCTCGCCAAAGAAAAAACCCTTCTTTTATGCAGGCTGCCTAATTATCCCTCCAGCCCCAGGGCTGACCAGTTTTGGCCATCTTGACTGGACTGGACCCAGGATTTGAACCCACAACCCTGTCCTTCCCAGGCAAGCACCCTATCCCCTAGGCCACACTGGAGCATAGGGACCATCCATCTAGAAATGGCCATGATTCTCAAAACAGATGGGGAAAGGGGCCTGAGTGCCCCCTCCCGAGTGTTGCCTAAGCCCTCCTAGCCAGGGCTCTCTGTTCTCCAGGCCTGATCCAAAGCAGTGAGTCTTTCCGCTGGCTCCAACGGGCTTTGGAGCTGTTCCTCTACGTAGCTGAAGTCGGAATAGCTGGACGCGGCTTTTGGCACTGACTCCCAGCAGGGTGTCGAAGGGAGAACACTCTTCCGCCGACTTCCCTGAAAAAAGCGGCAGAACGGCTCTTGCGCAAGAGGGGGTTTTTGAGCAAAAAGGAGCCGTGTAGACGGCTCGTTTTTGCACAAAAGCCCCTTTGCAAAAATGGCGGTTCATTAAGTATGCAAATGAGGCTCAGAGATTCACCGCTTTGCCTCATTTGCATATTTTCTTGCGCAAGAGAGGGCTGTGGAGACGTAGCCCCGGTGTTTTAGCACCTTGTAGTCCTCCAAACCACTGGTCACCCCTCCCACTGTGTACTTCCTCTCTGCCTTGCAGGCTTCACCTCTCCCAGGGCACAAACAGCACCATGTGCGGGGGCCAAGCCAAGCACTACCAGCTGTGCCAGCAACAGGTGAGAACCTCTCCCGAGGCTGCCCCTGCACACCTAGGGAAGTGACGTGGCCTCAGCGGGTGCCCACAGGGCGGCTGTGCCAGTGCCCGCCTGCCGGTTGTGCTTGAGATTTGGCATGGCCCCGGCAAGCAGATTATGGGTGTGAGCGGGACAGTCACCTGGCGCGGGACAGTCACCAGCATGGAGCCCCACAGGTGTGACCAAAGCTCTCTGTTGCAAAGCTCTCTGTTGCAAGCTCTCTGTTGCAAGCAAATGCTGAGCACCTGACTCGAGGCCGGTCGCCCCAGCAAAACGCCACGGGCATTTGATTAATACTCATACAACGAGAAGGAGCCTCGTCTCCATCCGTCCATACAGCTCAAAACGCTTTGCAATGGACAGTACCGGCATTCCCCATTTTACAGAGGGGGAAACATGACCTTGCCCACAGTCAGGCAGCAGAACAGTAGCAGAGCCAGGAACTGAACCCAGGTCTCTTGAGGCCCAGGTCGGTGGCAGAGGGGACTGGACCCAAGAAGGCCTGCTAGATCCCCAAGCCCCTTTTCCAGCAGGGCGGTGAGCAGGGCCTGCAGGCTGTACTAACGCCCGTGGTGCTTTCTTGCATTGCGCTCCCCATGGATCCTCACTTGACCGAGGACCGCGCTGGGACAGGAGAGGCTGCCAGGGCCCTCGGAAGCTGGCTGCTTTGGATCGCAGAGGCTGATGTTAAGCTTTGCTCTCTCCGCAGCCTTGCCCGGACAACACGGCCAGCTTCAAACAGCAGCAGTGCTCCACCTTCAATGCCAAGGCCTTTGGGAAGCACTATTATCACTGGACCCCTCTGTACCCAGGTTTGCCCAGGGCTCAGCATGCGAGCGCGGAGGGGACGTACCTGCGGGACCGTGTCAATAGGGGTTGGGAGAGTTGCCTCCCGGTGGAGGGGGGGGTGTAAACGTCCCACGTCTCTGGGACAGGGCAGTGGGGTCAGGCGGGTGGGGCGGCCAGCAGCGTTGCTGGTGAGCACGGCTAGACTTGCCTGTTCAAACCTGCCGGGGCAGGGCCCCACGTTAACAGGCAGCCTGTGTCTCCAGCCTGAAACTGGCTCCGGTTCCTGCCTCTGAGCAACCAGTAATAGCGCAAGGGGAGGGCCGGACGCTTTCAGCGTCTCAGGCTCTGGCCGCTTGGCTGAGAGCCGAGCAAACCGACGGTCTGTATTTCTGGCCTTCTGGCCCAAAGGTTAAGGCACATCCCAGCCCACGTATGGGGCTGAGGGGCGGCAGACCTGGGCCTACCCTGCTCCACCAGGCCCCTTGAAATGAGAGGCGATCCCACGAGGGGGTCGGGGAAAACATGCGGTCGCTGCTTTGCCTCCCCGCAGCACCACAGGACCACAGTCGTGTCTCCCGGCGCTGTTTCCTCCCGGCTCCTGAAGGCGCTGCTGGGCCAGGCGCTCCCCTGCGTGGTCAGGCGGCACATTCTCCCCTCCAGCTCCTGGGGTGCCGGGTCGCCTTGTCTCCCCTCTACCCGTCCCTGGGCTCGGTTGAGCGCTCAGCTCCCCCGGGGGACACCTCCCTCCTTCCCAGGTCTGGGCCCACCTGAGCAGCAGGGCCCTGCTTTTATACTACCAGCCCCACTCTTGCGTTCCCGCCGGGGGGGGCAGGGTCAGCTGTGCACAGCGAGGCGAGTTCGCCCCCTCTGCACTGCTGGGAGGCCACGCTGCCTCGCTCCGGGGGGTCTCCCTCGGAAGGGATTCCCCTGCCGGGCAGCTGCGTGTTCTCTTGGGTGCCCGCCCTGCGCTCTCTTTGCCTTCCCTACTCACGCTCTGCAGCCAGCTGCTTTTCCTACACCGCTGCAGGTTGCAGAGATGGGTTCGATAAGCTGGATACCGGTCCTGTTCATAGTTGTGGAGAGAGACCCCCAGCTCCTTTCCCCTCAGCTACCAAAGGCCGCATGGGTGGTGATGCACTCTCTTGGGTCTGGCCTGCGTGGATGTAAAGCAATGACCCCAAGGAGAAGGCCTGTGTCTCAGGGTTGGTCCGGGACCATCCCGTGTCCCCAGTGCTCTTCCCGGTGCCATCTCTCCTCTCTCCCATTAGACGATTACACCAGCATCTCCAACAAGCCCTGTGATCTCCAGTGCACCACCAGGAGTGGAGAGAGGCAGCTGATGGCCCGCGCCCAGGATGGCACATCCTGCAAAGACCGGACGTACCAGGGCGTCTGCATCAACGGCAAGTGTGAGGTGAGGCACTGGGAGGAAGGGCCGTGGGCCTACAGGATGGAGGGTTGGCCTGAAGCCCCACAAGACCTGGCAGTGACGAGACACTGAACAGCTGTGATGGGCACCCGAGGCTAGGGAGTGGGCCGCATGAGTGGTCCCTCATCTCAATGGGCCACAAGGCTGTTGGAACCAAGCCAGTCTTGGCTACGGTAGCTGTGCTAACGGCGCTGGTGGGCCTAGAATGTGCAGGGGGTGGCGCCGGAAGCATAGCAGCGCTCTGATTGGCTGCAGAGGGACACAACGTTGTCCAATCAGCACGCACCTCGCTTCATGGGCCCTTGCGGTACGTGCGTGTCACTTTAGTAATAACCGGTAGGGAAAAAAAACTAGGCAGATGAAAACCAGCAGCATCTGGCAGCCCTGCGCATGGGCAGTGGTAAACAAAACCTCTTGTAGGCCGCACATAGAGCCCCAATGGGCCGTATGCAGCCCACGGGACGCCTACCACTGTGCGATAGGGTTCTTGTGTACATCACAATGATGCCCGTGTAGAATGGGGCAGCCAGGTTCGGGCCAGGTGAGAGATCATTATGTGCAGCCCTTAGGTGGATACATTTTCCCTTCAGCCTGGTTTGCTTTTCTAGGATCACCCAGCAGCGCAAGTACTTTTAATCTGTCAGCGAAAGCCCCTTGGCATCGCAGTGGTGCTTTGTATATTTAAAACCACAGTGATTTGGCATTGCTGCTGTTGGATGGTCATTCCTCAAATGACATTGCTGGTGCAGCCAGTCCATCCTTGGATAAAGCGCCTTCCGCAGGAAGGACATTCCAAACCAATCTCCCGGCAAAGTGTGTCCATTAAACGTAAGTCCAGTATGAGCTAACGCAGCCCTTCACTTCTGCCCCACAGTTCTTTCTTTGGTGTGTCCTGGACATGTAAGATCTCTGGGGATTTTCCCCAATAAAGGCTCTCTCCTACCCAGTAGGTCTGTGGGGCAGGCCGCTCGCTCCACAAAGGGGTTGAATACCTCAGTGGTAATGTCATCTTTTCTTCTGTATTCCTTGCAGCCGGTTGGGTGCGACGGGAGCCTCTACTCATCCCGGACGATGGACAGATGCCGGGTGTGCGGAGGGGACGGAAGCACTTGCTACCGGGTCTCGGGCAGCTTCCGAAAAGGGATCTCACAGTTAGGTACACCCTGTTACACGATGCCCATCAACATCATTGTTTCTTGCTAACATGGACTGACAAGAAGGGCAGAGTCTGACCAGCCCAGCTGAAGGAGCTCACTACGGCCCTGCCTTTCTTTTCCCGTGTAAGCCAAAATGACGGTATTTTGTCTGTACCGTTTAATCAGCAGAGGGAGCTGGTTTGGTTCGCTGTATGGTAGCTAGTGAAGTTCGCCTCCATCTCGTTATGAAGCGATGCGGCTGGGGACCTATTTGTGTCTATTGATTGCTCATGCCAGATGATGTTAGTTGTCAGTGCACATAATTTATCTCTGCTCTGCGTTATGCGCTGGGATGTTAATCTTGTACAAGGAAGGTCACTCCACTTGTAAATATCTGCTGCTGTGCGCAGTGACAGGAAACACTGTCCCGGTTGGCGGGCTGAGGCAAAAGTGGAACCAGGTTGTTTTTTGTGCGGCGGGTTTTTTTTTTCTTCCTAGGAGCAACTGCCAGCTGCAAATAAACCCAGCTCCAAAATGCGCTGGGTTGCTTTTAAAGCAGACCTGCAGAGGCCTGGGTTCGTGCCCATTTTGGGGTGCTGGAGGGTGGATAAAAAGGCCTTCCACAGTTTTCAAAAACAAGTCGTACTTTCTGGGTTTCCGTATCCGTCTGGCCCACCAGTCTGGGGACTCAGATGTTTACGCTGAGTTTGCACATACAATCTGAAGGGGCAGGGTAGAATAAGATGGGGGAGGTGATCTTTTATTGGCCCGACATCTGCTGGTGAGAGACAAGCTTTCGAGTGTACCCAGAGCTCTTCTTCAGGTCTGGGAAACTTAACTAGGCCATGTCTATACTAGGGATGTGAAAGGTTAATCGGTTAAGCAGGAAGCTTTAATGGGTGATGCTTACTGGTTCCAGTTAGCTGTCAAATAGGAGGCCTGCTGCAGATAGGTTGTCCAGAGCAGCCCCTGTCCATGGCAGGCCTGAGCACCCCGGCTTGCAGAAGTCCTTGCCTCCGGCTCACCAATTCAACAGGATTTTACATCGGTAGTGCACACGAGTCGACTTCCAGCAGCCCATCTGTACGGATACGGAATTAAGCCTCCGCCAGTGATCAGCGGTAGCTATGCTGGCAAGAGACTCTCTCCCCAACGCCATAGCACTGCGCACACAAGCCCTCGTGCTGGCGAAACTTAGGTCAGTCAGGGGCTTTTTTTTTTACCTCCCCGAGCAACGTAAGTGTTGCTGACATACGTTGTGGTGTAGACTTGGCCATAGGGAGGAAAAGGAGGGTGGAGGGGGGGTGTTAGTGGGTTGCCCTAGATCCCTTGTCTCTGTGGGGTGAGGACGTTGATTTCTAACAAAAGCGTGTCTGAGTTTAAAAAGCATTCCCAACAACAAAAAAAAGGAAGTTTTTTTTACCTCCCCGAGCAACGTAAGTGTTGCTGACATACGTTGTGGTGTAGACTTGGCCATAGGGAGGAAAAGGAGGGTGGAGGGGGGGTGTTAGTGGGTTGCCCTAGATCCCTTGTCTCTGTGGGGTGAGGACGTTGATTTCTAACAAAAGCGTGTCTGAGTTTAAAAAGCATTCCCAACAACAAAAAAAAGGAAGGGTCAAATACATGTTGATGGGATCATGAGCTTTCGTGGGCACAGCCCACTTCTTCAGATGACCGGACATCTGAAGAAGTGGGCTGCGCCCACAAAAGCTCATGATCCCATCTCCATGTTTTGTTAGTCTATAAAGTGCTACCAGACTATTTGTTGTTTTCCCTGTTACGGACTCACTCAGCTGCCCCTCTGAAGCTCTTGTATTTTTGTTATTAGTACTATTTAGATTGCAGTGGCAAAGATAAGAACGGCCATTTGGGTCGGACCAAAGGTCCATCTAGCCCAGTATCCTGTCTTCCGACAGCAGCCAATGCCAGGTGGCCTAGAAGGAATGAACAGAACAGGGACTCATCAAGTGATCCATTCCCAGCTTCTAATAAATGGAGGTTAAGGACACTATTCATACCCATCCTAGCCATTGATGGACCTCACCTCCATGAATTTATCTCGTTCTTTTTTTAACCCTGTTAAAATCCTGGTCTTCACAAAATCCTCTAGCAAGGAGTTCCACAGGTTGACGGCATTGTGTGACGTACTTCTTTTTGTTTGTTTTAAGTCTGCTCCCCTGTGCATGATGCCGCTCCTGCCCATACAATGAAAAGTCTCCACCCTTTTGTCTATTATGATACCATCATTTCACTAGGTTTCCAGTCATCAGAGAGTTTGCTGGGTAGAGAAGACCCACATTTCTAATGTCAAATAAAGTCTGAAAAAAACCATCTAGGCTTCCTTTACCCAGCATTGCTTGATGTTTTCCCTTCCCTTTGCAAGTCACCTTTCACTCTCCTTCAAGGGGAAATGATCAGGCGTAGAGGGTTGATGATGAGATCCACACACCTTGGTCTCTAGGGGTATGTCTACACTACCCCGCTAGTTCGAACTAGCGGGGTAGTGTAGACATACCCTCGCTTTCTAGCTCAGGTCCAGCCTTGAGTGGTAGTTGGGCCGTTAGCATGTTGTGCTGATGGCTGTAAAGGGCGGCATGATTCCCTCCTGCGCCCAAAGGCGCTACCTTCTTCCTGTGCCCGAGCTGGACGCAGAACTCAGCTGGACCCCTGAGGCCTGCAGTAACTCTAACAGATCAGGGGGCCCCCTTCTCCTTCAGCTAAAAGCGCCATTCTCAGTGTGACCGGAGCTGGAGTCTATGGACGCAGAGCCAACAAGCTGCCTCTGGCTGCTCCCATTGGGACATAGTGAAAGCTCAGCGGGCAATCACAGGCTCACTGAAAACAATGAGCTTGACTGTAAGGTCCTGAGATCAGGTCAAAATACTAGATTGGGTGTTCTTCTGACTTGCCGCCTGCTTTTCGAGTCTTTAGGGTGCGCCGGGGTCACGTTTGGAAGCTTCCTCCGTAGCCACAAGGTCTGGAAACTGACTTTCCCTTTAAGAATGAAGGCTGAAATCATCCCATCGTCACTTGACTCCAGGCGCTGGGGCTTTACAGACCACAAACAGACCACGAGACTCAGGACAAAACCAGGAGGCGAGGCAGCACTGCCTCCCTGAGCCACGGGCGAGGCTGGGGCAGCCTGAAGTCTCTTTCCCCCATTGGGTTTCCCAACCTTTTCTTTCGTTCCCACTCCCAGGCTACGTGTTCATCACGAACATCCCTGCTGGCGCCACGGACATTCTCATCATCGAGCGCCGGAAGACAGAGAACATCCTGGGTAAGCTGCAGACTGGCACGGTGTGGATGACAGGTCGCCATGGCCAGGTGTCCAGGCAGGGGCTGCGCTGCAGGGGATGGAGCAACAGCTCCCGGGGGGCCTGCAGAGCGGGGGAGCAGCGTTACATGGGTGTGAGCCACTTTATCCATGAGAAATGGGCAGATCTGGAAAGAGGAACCCCCAGGCTCCTTGCTTTCTTGACTCCTGCCCTGCCGTTCCTGACCTTCTCAGACGGGTGACTGCGGAGGAGCGGACAGCACACGGGGCAGCTGAACCAGCATTCACAGGGCCCCCACCTGACTTTTCTGACTGCTTCGAGGAATTCCTCTAGGACCCCACTGCCCCATCCCTTAGGTGATAACTGTGTCCCTCTGGCAGGTGTTACCGTCAGGGGTGAGAATACAGGAAATCCTTTAGGACATAAAGGATGGACAGGACCAGGGGATGGGCAGTAATTGCTGATGGGAGGCCACTCCAAGATTTTGGAAAGTGGTCGAGGGCCGCACTCTTCCATGATATTAATAGAGGAGGTGCGGGGTCTGGGATGGAGGTTGGGTGCAGAGGGGAGCTTAGGGTAAGGGACTGGGGTGCAGGAGGGAGACTGGAGTCTGGGAGGGAGTTTGGGTGAAGGAGATGGTTGTGACCTCGGGCAGGGGACTGGAGTGCAGGGGTTTGAGATGTGACCTAGGGTAGAAGGGGATTGTGATCTGGGGCAGATGATTGGGGTGCCAGATATGGGAGGAGGTATGGTTGCAAGAGGGGGACAGAGGGTTTGGATATGGTGAGTGGGGAGGGGGGCAGAGGATTGGGGCAGGGACGGGTTGGGGGTGCCAATCCCTACGCTGAATGGATGGTTCCCGGTGAGGGAGGATCACGATGGTCTTGTCCAGGCCTGGGAAAAATCCAGCCTAGGGAGGCGCCCCAGGCAGGCTCCCTGCTTATCCTGCAGCCCCGTGCGCCGTGTAGAAATGTGGCTGCCGGGCTTCCATTCTGTTTCAAAACTGGAGGTGGGGGGAAGTTTCAGGAGCAGCTCCACCCCCAGCACAATCCCATTGGCCGGTTTCTGGCCAGAAACCGGCCAATGGGATTGTGCTGGGGGTGGAGCTGCTCCTGAAACTTCCCCCCACCTCCAGTTTTGAAACAGAATGGAAGCCCGGCAGCCACATTTCTACACGGCGCACGGGGCTGCAGGATAAGCAGGGAGCCTGCCTGGGGCGCCTCCCTAGGCTGGATTTTTCCCAGGCCTGGACAAGACCATCGTGATCCTCCCTCACCGGGAACCATCCATTCAGCGTAGGGATCGCACACTCCTTTGTGCTGGATCTTTGCTTTATGGGCAGGCTGCGGAGCCATTCTTGGTGCTTTCAGAAGGCAAAGGGCTGCGGGAGCTAGCTGGCGCGAGGCCCCTAAGGGACCACAGCGAATGCAGCCAGCCCTGTCTCCACTGTAGCCGCCTTGTAGTGGTAGCCATCTCCCTCCCTGCGTCCTGTCCCGAGGGTAACACCAGTCCTATTGCCTGCTCTGCTGTGGGCCTTGAAGTCTGCTTGGAGCTGTCCCCTGTCCATCTCCTCTGTTTGCAGCACTGGCAGATGAATCTGGGCGCTTCTTCTTCAACGGGAACTCGGCCATCGACAATCCCCAGAACTTCCGGGTGGCTGGCACCGTGTTCAAGTACCGCCGCCCTTCCAGCCTGCACGCTGACGGCCTGGAGTACATCATTGCCCAGGGCCCCACCAATCAGTCTCTGAATGCCATGGTACGTGAGCAGTGAAGGATCAGGGAGACCCTGCTGGTCTCCTTCCCAAACCCCAAGAGCGCAGGTGCCCTCACGAATGGGAATTTGGAGCTTTCCCCTGTCTGGGTTCCTGCATCACTCCCTGTAGCTATGCCTGTTGGAGGAGAGGCTGTTGGAGGTCCTGCCCGGCCACCCTATCACAAAGCCCATGTTCTCCAGGTCTGTTTCAAGGGGTAGGCCTCAGCTGTTTCGGCTCCAGTAGCAGACACACATGCTAATGAGATAACAGGGTTGGTTTTTTCCCTCCCCAGTACTATAACTTCAATGGGAAAATGCCCCACATCACGTATGACTACACCGTGCCGCACGTGCCCTGGCCAGCTCTCCGAACCGCGCCCCCCGCCATCGACACACCTTTCTACCTTCACCTGCCAGACTCCAGCCCCAAACATCCCGCTCCCGTCACAGCAGACTCCGGGGCCAGGCGGGATTTCAATGCCACTTGGCTCGCTCTCTCGCCGGATGATGTCAGCAACCGGTTCCCGCCTGGGGAAGATCATGGAGACCTGCGCTTCAACGGTCAGGACTTCTTCCAGAGTAACTCCTCCGCTCAGGCCGGGCCCTGGGGCTGGGGCCGGGGGGAAGAGGAAGAAGAGAGGTTTGGCTTCCGGATCAGACAAGTCTACCGTGCGAACGGAGCGGGCGAGGAGGCGGCGGCAGTAGGTGGAGACACAGAATTGGGTTTGTTGGCTTTCTTGGCTACTTCCTGCTTGGGTAACGGAGGGGTGGGCCTCGCAGACGTGCCCAGCTCTCCTCAAAGCCAGCTGGGCGGGTGCGGGAGGTGGTGGTCCAGAGGGGGCGGTTACTTTCACCTCTATGGGCTCATTAACGCCCCTGCATTTTCCTTTAGCCCCCAGCTTAAATCAGCTCCCCATCAGCACAGCCATGCCCTACAGCGTGATGAGGCCCGCGCTGCCGGAGAGCAGCAGGATCGGGGCAGCCAGGCTCCGGCTCTTCAGGAGATGGTGTCACCGGGACCCACAAAACGCTGCCTTTTGCAGGGAACTGCAGCCCCTGGCGGCCAAGCTGGGCTGGAAGAATTCGACTGCGGGGCTGTGGAACGGGCTGGCGGCCGCATGGCCGCGCAAAGGGCCTGCCCATATGAACTTGCTGGAGAGCACGAGGGCAGAGGCTTACGCAGAGCGCCAGGAGGAGGCAGCTCACTACGGTTCCAACACAAGCCTCCCCACTGACCAGGCAGAACCGCTTCAGGCCCCTGGCCCTGAAAGGTGAGAGCCCGCCGGGTCCTCCAGGGAAGACAGGATGCAGGCTATCCCGGGAGGACTAATCCTTCCACCCCCATGGTTGCAGCAGGGTTCTCCGCTTGGCTTTCCTCTTCCACTTCTCTGCCGTTGTGACGGGGGAGGCAGGACAGAGCCAGTTGCCGGTGCCAGCCCATCTCAAACTCCCAGAACACATTCCACGGTGCCTCGGCTCCTCCACGGGGCCTGGGCCACCTCCTACGTGGTCCCTCGTTCACCAACCGGCTCCACCGGCCATCGGAGATTGTCCCATGCTACATGCGAGCCTGCGGGGGGAGCAGTCGGAAAAAGAACCAGAACCTGTGGGATCCTGGTGTCCGCCGTGGAGTGTCCGAGGAAGGCGTTCGCTATTCCCATCACGTCCCAAAGTAAGCTCATCCCTGCTCCTCTCTCTGCAGCAACGAGTTTGAGGTGAGCCCCCTGGGCCATGAAGACATCAGCCTGGCCGACATGTACCGGTGGAAGGTCTCCGCCTATGCTCCCTGCAGCTCCACGTGCACTGCAGGTAGGTTCGGTCTGGGAGGCGAGGCAGCTTCGCGGGAGCGGGAATGAGATGTACAGCACTTCCCCTGACGGTCCCCAGGTGTGGGCCAGCCCAGCAGCTAGAGGCTCTTACGCTCAGCACTAAATCCTCTCCAAATCAAACGAAGGATCCGGCTACACCAAGAACAAGGGTTAACGTTTGCACCCGGGCACGGCTCCGGTCCTGCAGCCAAAGGTGCATGGGAGAGCAACCTGGGCATGCAGTATGTGGTCTTAGGAGTCCCCGGGGCACCTGTTTCATTGAGGATCTATGTAATTACTTTAGCTGGGAGGTGGGTGCATGTTTCTGTGCTTGGGCCGAGCCTTTTAAAATTTGTCATAAGCCAACGAGACGATCCTGAGGCCAGCTGAATGGGAGGTTCACACTTGGGAATGGGTGACATTGCTTGATGTGAATAGCTCCACGCTGGGCTCCAACTCTGGCCAGATGGTTTTCACACTGGTGGGGCGGAAGTTGAGTGGGGAGGGGGGCAGAGGATTGGGGCAGGGACGGGTTGGGGGTGCCAGAGGCAGGCTGTGGCCAGGAGACTTACCAGCCAGCAGCCAAACCTGCCTGCCTGCCTGCCTACAGAGCTTAAAATGTTTCCCAGCCAGCCAGCCTGCCTGGTTGCCTGGAGGAAGGCAGCTGGTACATTCCAGATCTGTTAGTCTGCAGAGGACTTCTCGGCACGGCTGGAGAGTGATGTCAGAGGGTACATCTCCACAGCAACATGATTTCGAAATAACTTCGTCCGTGTCTACGCAGCAGGCAGTTATTTCGAAATAATGTCGAAATACTGTCAAGCTGGAGGACTTCTTACTCCGACCCCTGTAACCCTCATTGTACGAGGAGTAAGGGAAGTCGGAGGAAGAGGGCTCGATTTCGAAATAAGTGCAGTATAGGCACTCCCCATTTCGAAATAAGCTACATAATGGACGTGGTGCAAATTGTGTAGCTTATTTCGAGTTAAGCCCTGCAGTTTAGATGCTCCAAAGTGAGCATCGCTTCTTGGAAAGGACGGGAGCTTTGATTACGTTTCAGCGATCTTTGGCCTGAATGAATTGAGACTAAGAGTAAAGGACCCGGGAAGAGATGGCAGGAAAGCAGCTCACCAGTAGCAAGGGCTCTGCGTTTCATTCCCAGTCCTGGTTGTCCTTAGCACGGGGAAAGCGTGCTGTGTAGTGTCCCACTCTGGTCTTGGCTGCTGTCCTGCTGGCCTCGTCCCGGGGGGCTTGGTTTTTGGAGTTCTCTTCTGGACAACGACCCAGTCAAAAATGTATTTTTATAATGGCCCTAGGCTATGTCTAGACTGGCATGATTTTCCTGAAATGTTTTTAACGGAAAAGTTTTCCGTTAAAAGCATTTTCGGAACAGAGTGTCTAGATTGGCATGGATGCTTTTCCGCAAAAGCACTTTTCCGCAAAAAAGCCCCGATCGCCATTTTCGCAATCGGGGCTTTTTTGCGGAAAACAAATCTGAGCTGTCTACACTGGCCCTTTTGCGCAAAAGCTTTGCACAAAAGGGACTTTTGCCCGAACGGGAGCAGCATAGTATTTCCACAGGAAGCACTGATTTCAGACAGTAGGAAGTCAGTGCTTTTGCGGAAATTCAAGTGGCCAGTGTAGACAGCTGGCAAGTTTTTCCAGAAAAGCGGCTGATTTTCCGGAAAAACTGGCCAGTCTAGACACAGCCCTAGTGTCTCCGATTGAGAAGGGGCCACGTCGTAGATGGAGCAAGTAGTGCTTTGTTGGATAGCAGGCGCTGCTGGAGCTTGACTAAGAGAGATTCCTGGTGCCCAGCAGGCATCAGCACCTCCTATGCCATGTGCGTCCGGTACGATGGCGTGGAAGTAGAGGAAGCGCACTGTGACGCCCTGACCCGCCCAGAACCCACTCACGAGTTCTGCACGGGGAGAGAATGCCAGCCCAGGTGAGTTCAGCTGTTCAAGCCCCGACCCCTCTGGCAGACAGACACCCAGTCAGCCAAGGATCCAGCCACCGACGGGCACGCAGGGCAGCAAACTGAGCTAGGCGGGAACTGGCACAAGTATGCACAGGCAGGATAACGCATGGGAAGCCAATGACCAACAGAGAGGGAGGCATCAGGCGGTTTTGTACCAGCCTGGCTGTGCCATGCCCCCGCTGCTACCCATGGTCCTGCCGCTACCCTGCTAGCTAGATTGGGGCTGGCACCGCTCGCTCACAGGGCAGATGGACCCTAAAGCAGGGGAGAAGGTATGAGACGGAAGAAGGCTGGGCAGAGAGGCCTTTCTGTGTCCTGTAGCTGATCCCACTCAATAGATCTGACACTGGGTATCGGTTAACACTCGCAGTGCCGAGTATTAGAAATCGGTGGGGGTGGAACTGCCCTTGGCTGTCGTTTCTTGGCACTACAGCAGAGCGAGGAGTGACCCTGCAGATGCTTTGGCCCCTGGCTTGCTGCGAGCTCAGATTGCTGGGCCGGGTTTCGTTGCTTTACAGCTGACAGGAATAGCCGCCAGTGTCTATTTAAAGACGTGCGAGTCGGGATACACCCCCCCGGGCCAGGTGCATTAGGTGTCATTTACAAGCTGGGGGCTGCCGCGAGTAATTCCACCACCTGCCGGAGGAAGCTGCGCTGTCCCCGGAAATCCCCGCCCCTCTCCCACCTTCCTGTGCGGGGAGGTACGTTACTCCAGCCACTTTTCATAGAGCAACTCGCTCCCTCCGGGCAGTCGTCCTCCCCCTCTGACTGGTGGATGCAGAGCAAGGGCTCGCCTTGCTACCCAGCCTTCTTCCCTGCGCCTGTCCACTTGCTCACAGCGCGTGGCTACCCCCCGCGCTCCCTTTCTGAGCAAGGGAGTAAGGCCCTTACTCTCCTGCCGACAAACACTGTGATCACCCAGCCCTCCACGTATGTGAATCATGCTGCTCCTGGAAACATGCGGCCACCTCTGTGCTGGAAGGGGGCAGCCTAGAACCAACACACACCAGCCCTGCGCAAGAGACTCAGACTCATAGACTTTAAGGTCAGAAGGGACCATTATGATCATCTAGTCTGACCCCCTGCACAGTGCAGGCCACAGAATCTCACCCACCCCTCCTAGAATAATCCTCTCACCTATATCTCAGATATTGAAGCCTTCAAATACTTTGAAGGCCCCAAGATGCAGAGAATCCTCCAGCTGTGGTCTGTGCCCCATGCTACAGAGGAAGGCGAAAAACCTCCAGGGCCTCTGCCAATCTACCCTGGAGGAAAATTCCTTCCCGACCCCAAATATGGCGATCAGCTAAACCCTGAGCATGTGGGCAAGACTCACCAGCCAGACACCCAAAAAGTTCTCTATAGTAAGAGAGCAAGGCCTGGCGCGACTGAGGACTGCAGGGCCTCAGTAGTGCAAGACCGTTGCCACAGAGCAGTTCGACTCAGGAGTTAACCCCCTTATGCTTATAAAAGGGCCGTCGAGTATAGTCTGCTGCCTGCGTCAGTGCCTTGTTCTGACCGGTGCTTTGCCTTCTCTCCCCTTGCGACCCGCCCGGAGATGGGAGACCAGCCGCTGGAGCGAGTGTTCCCGGACCTGCGGGGAAGGCTACCAGTACCGGACCGTGCGGTGTTGGAAGATGCTGGCTCTGGGTTTTGACAGCTCTGTGTACGACGAGCTGTGCGAGTCGGCTGGGCTGGCCAGGCCCATGGAGAGGAAAGCGTGCAAGAACAAGGCCTGTGGGCCGCAGTGGGAGCTCTCGGAGTGGTCGGAGGTAGGGAGTGCCGGGGCCTGCCCCCGTCGGGGTTAAACTGGGGAGCGGCGCGTGGCCAGAGGAAAACAGCCCCTGGCCCGTGGACTCGTGCCTATGTACAGCGCCGAGGGGGGTTCTGGGCAGCTTGAGGCACAGTCATTAGGTATCAGACGGACACTTGCACTGTTCTTGCCCAACTGGGCCTGGTTTTCAGACAGACCGGGCCCGCACGTTTCCAGTGTGTTGGTGGGAGCTGAGTGTGCTCCGTGACGCTGAAAAGCAGGCCCCCTCAGCAGCAGACCTGGGACTAGAACCCTGGTCGCCTGAGCCCCTCCCCTCTGCTTTAGCCCAGCCATCCCTGCTAGGGTTGCCAGGTGCCCAGTATTGACCCGGACAGTCTGGTATTTTCGCCTCCTGTCCGGTAAAAAAACCCCAGAAAATACCGGACACCTGAAATGTCTGGTATTTTCTGATTTTTTTTTCCCTGCCAGGAGGCAAAAATACCAGACACCTGAAAACCCTATGACACTCAGCAATTGGGCCCAGCCCCTGGCCCGCCCCCCAGGTGCAGGGCCCCTCCCGGCCCCCCTCTCCTCCGCTTACCTTGTTCCGCAGGGAAGCAGCCTTCTGGAGGAAGAAAAGATGGCCACCGGCAAAAAAAAAAGCCCCAAAGGTCTTAAAGGGGCCATGCTGGGTTTTTTGTTTGGTTTTTTTTTTTTTTTTCATTTCTTTTGCTTAATAATTGTCAGGGGCCTTTTTTTGCTCAACAACTTTGGTCTCCCCCTTTTTTTTGTCAACAGTGGTTTTTTGGGGGAGGGGGTTCGGTATTTTTGGTTAAACCATCTGGCAACCCTACGTCCCTCTCCCCCAGCATGTGGTCCCCCCCCCCTTACGGACGCAGTCTGGTCTCTGTGCCACAGTGCTCCGCGCGCTGCAGCAGCCCGGGCCTGATGAAGAGGGAGGTTCGCTGCTCCGTGGAGCCAGACCTCTGCGACGAGGCCCTGAAGCCTGTCAGCGAGAAGGCGTGCACGGGCTCCCCCTGCGACCGGCACTGGATTGCCTCTGACTGGGGACCGGTGAGTCCACGCTGGCTGCTTTTTCTACTGCTCCGGGCTTGCAGTAGCCCAGGGCTGAATGGAGGGGGAGGTGGGATTAGGGGATTATCACCCAAGCAGGCAATTCGCTCTGTACACACAGCTGGGTTGGTTTTGCTCAGACTTATAACGAACATTCCCCTCCAGCAGGCAAGACTTTGACTCGCCGGGGGCCCTGGGCAAGATGCGGGGAGGCGGCTCCGTGTTCCCGGAAGGGGCAGGGCTGGGAAGGGGGAGCGCTGTCCAGACCATACCCCCTGGAAACCCTGGGGCCTGGTGATTCAAAGATTTCAAAGGTTGCCCCCTTTGCCCTCCCCTCTCCCCCCACCAGTGCTCAGAGGGCCTGTCTTCCAGGCACAGGTCAGCTGAAAAGTCTGCCAGGAGTGCCCGAAACCCAGGGACTGGCAAGGAAGCTACTGCGCCTCCTGAGCTAAGGGGGCCGTGCTGAGGCCGAGTGACTTACCCACGGTGCGTCGGCATCGGAGCGGGGACGAAACCTCTGCTCCCTGCCCCCAGCAAGTGCGGCTCAGTGGCTGGCCCGCGGACACGCCCTTTGTTTCTCCAAGTGCTCAGGGTCGTGCGGCAAGGGGCGGATGAGCCGCGTGGTCGTGTGCCGCAACCTGGAGGGGAAGGTGATCTCGGACTCCCAGTGTGACCCGGCCGTCAGGCCCCTGGCTGTCTACCCCTGCGGGGACAAGAACTGCCCCGCACATTGGGTGGAGCAGGAGTGGGACCAGGTAAGCCTGGCGCGGCCTCCCTCCGGCCTGGAGCTGCGGGCTGCAGGAGTCTGGCCCGGAGCCTTGTTCCACGAGCCCCCGGGCTGCGTGTCAGCACTGAGGGGCTCAGAGGGGGGTTGGGCCCAGGGAAGGCTCAAAGCACAAGCCCTGGGAAGCCGGGGGGATGGGCCTCTCCGTGGGGGGCAGCTGGGGGCTCCGGGGGCAGGAGCAGCACTCAGGCGGGGGCACACACTGAAGAAGTTCCGGGTGGGACTCTCCTGCTGCAGGACTCCCCACCCAGAGCCTGGCTCGCTGCAGGGGCAGCGGGGTAGCTCCTTCAGGCCACAGCAGCAAAGCCCACGGAGCAGCCCTCTGCCCACACCTGGGGCTGCCGTGGTGGGAGGAGGGAGCAGGCCGCCCGTGGCCCGGGGGGGT